CGAAAATCGAAAATCGAAAATCGAAAATCGAAAATCGAAAATCGAAAATCGAAAATCGAAAATCGAAAATCGAAAATCGAAAATCGAAAATCGAAAATCGAAAATCGAAAATCGAAAATCGAAAATCGAAAATCGAAAATCGAAAATCGAAAATCGAAAATCGAAAATCGAAAATCGAAAATCGAAAATCGAAAATCGAAAATCGAAAATCGAAAATCGAAAATCGAAAATCGAAAATCGAAAATCGAAAATCGAAAATCGAAAATCGAAAATCGAAAATCGAAAATCGAAAATCGAAAATCGAAAATCGAAAATCGAAAATCGAAAATCGAAAATCGAAAATCGAAAATCGAAAATCGAAAATCGAAAATCGAAAATCGAAAATCGAAAATCGAAAATCGAAAATCGAAAATCGAAAATCGAAAATCGAAAATCGAAAATCGAAAATCGAAAATCGAAAATCGAAAATCGAAAATCGAAAATCGAAAATCGAAAATCGAAAATCGAAAATCGAAAATCGAAAATCGAAAATCGAAAATCGAAAATCGAAAATCGAAAATCGAAAATCGAAAATCGAAAATCGAAAATCGAAAATCGAAAATCGAAAATCGAAAATCGAAAATCGAAAATCGAAAATCGAAAATCGAAAATCGAAAATCGAAAATCGAAAATCGAAAATCGAAAATCGAAAATCGAAAATCGAAAATCGAAAATCGAAAATCGAAAATCGAAAATCGAAAATCGAAAATCGAAAATCGAAAATCGAAAATCGAAAATCGAAAATCGAAAATCGAAAATCGAAAATCGAAAATCGAAAATCGAAAATCGAAAATCGAAAATCGAAAATCGAAAATCGAAAATCGAAAATCGAAAATCGAAAATCGAAAATCGAAAATCGAAAATCGAAAATCGAAAATCGAAAATCGAAAATCGAAAATCGAAAATCGAAAATCGAAAATCGAAAATCGAAAATCGAAAATCGAAAATCGAAAATCGAAAATCGAAAATCGAAAATCGAAAATCGAAAATCGAAAATCGAAAATCGAAAATCGAAAATCGAAAATCGAAAATCGAAAATCGAAAATCGAAAATCGAAAATCGAAAATCGAAAATCGAAAATCGAAAATCGAAAATCGAAAATCGAAAATCGAAAATCGAAAATCGAAAATCGAAAATCGAAAATCGAAAATCGAAAATCGAAAATCGAAAATCGAAAATCGAAAATCGAAAATCGAAAATCGAAAATCGAAAATCGAAAATCGAAAATCGAAAATCGAAAATCGAAAATCGAAAATCGAAAATCGAAAATCGAAAATCGAAAATCGAAAATCGAAAATCGAAAATCGAAAATCGAAAATCGAAAATCGAAAATCGAAAATCGAAAATCGAAAATCGAAAATCGAAAATCGAAAATCGAAAATCGAAAATCGAAAATCGAAAATCGAAAATCGAAAATCGAAAATCGAAAATCGAAAATCGAAAATCGAAAATCGAAAATCGAAAATCGAAAATCGAAAATCGAAAATCGAAAATCGAAAATCGAAAATCGAAAATCGAAAATCGAAAATCGAAAATCGAAAATCGAAAATCGAAAATCGAAAATCGAAAATCGAAAATCGAAAATCGAAAATCGAAAATCGAAAATCGAAAATCGAAAATCGAAAATCGAAAATCGAAAATCGATAATCGAAAATCGAAAATCGAAAATCGAAAATCGAAAATCGAAAATCGAAAAGTGGAAAAACAACAGTTATGTTTAATAAAAACTTTCCATTCTACACTTAGCATTTATTTAATAAAGAAACCATAATGGTCGTGGACAAAGTATAGTAATAGACTCGCAATTTATGTCCATTATTCACTCGGGTGACTTGCGCATCTCGCCTACGGCTCGGGACGCAAACCATAAATTGCTCGTTTAATAATATACTATTTTTGGTCTGTTTAAGGAAGTTTCGTCTACAATATACTGGTATAAATTTGGATCTAACTTTAAGGAGTACGACATGATATTGCACTTGGCTGAATTCAATTTTAAATTATTTCTAAAGCACCATTCATTAACTTGTTTTAGATTTTCAGAAAGTCGCTCGCAGTCAGCAATACTATTTATGGAAGCCTAAAGTTTAAGGTCATCAGCATACCGTAGATAATTAATATTATTTAAACTACCAATATCATTTATAAAAATATTAAACAAGAGCGGGCTAAGATTCGACCTTTGAGGGACACCCGATGTGGCAAGGTACTTAATAGACTTGAACTCATTGCGCTGAACGTATTGTAAACGGTTACACAAATATGATTTAAGTGAGTCAATAAGACGATTGTACCGCCCGCTATCGGGATAAAAAAACTACGTAATATAAAGTGTGACACCTTATTTGAAAGCAGTTTCAATTATTAATTGAATGCATTAGATAACATTAATATAAATATCCTCCATATTGCACTTGAAATACCTAGTTTGAAAATTAGTCATGCAATATTTTAAACACTATTATTGCTAACTTTATTTTGTTGCAAGTGCGATGAGAAAATATTTATATTAATGATATGTCATGCATGGAATTAGTAAATAAATTAGCTTTCAAATGAAGTGTAACACTTTGTATTACGTTACAGGTTTTTTTATCCCGATAGAGGGCGCTAAAATTAAAAGTATTGTAATAAACAGTCATATTTATGACTTCCACACAAAATTAGCTTTTCAATGATGTGCCGGACATGGTACATTCATTATTTAAAATTAAGGGGTAGGAGAAAATTTTCTTAAAATCCGATGAATAATGCCGAAAAACAGGATGAAAATGTTTTGAGTGACCCACTCTGTATATCAAAAATGGCTAGATAAATCGAATTAGTTTATAGAACAAAATCTGCTTTAAAACGCATTTTTTACAAGATGCGCTATATAAGAAAGATCCTCCCATCGAAAAAAAAAAAAAATATTGAGCGCAGCGCCATCTACATATTGACCTCTTTAAAATGAATTTATTTCCAAAACTAAAGTTCTCTTAGCGCTCTATGAACTGGCTTTTACAGAATTAAAATATCTCTATTAGTTTCCAAAATATCTAGCCTGGGAGTTTTTATTGGTACACTCTGTATACTTTATTTTAATATTGCTTTTTTATGATTTCATTTTTTTTTTTGTTATCCTTGCCTAGCAGTAAAACGCACGAAAAAGATAGACTTTTTCAATGATCTTTCTATATACAGGTGTTTTTGTTTGGGTGCCGGAGGTGATCGATCCGCAATTCTATTTTTACAGTTAACGATAGGGTTTCGGAATGTTGTCTGAGAAAAAATATTTTCCACATCTTTCCACCATTTGGTTAGAAGCCAGTTTAAAGCTGATATGTTTTTATCATATAATTTTACAACGTTTTTATTTTTCCTTGTTTCTTTTCAGATTTGATAATGAATATTATTGATATGCCTCGGAGATCATTATACAGGGTGTTTTTTTAATATTGCGGAAAAATTCAGAGGCGTGTCCCTTGGACAAAATGAAGCAAAAAAGTTCCTATGAACATATGTCCAGTGACGTACAGTTTTTTTTTTTTAAGAAATATTCAGTTCAAAGCCCGCATGAACGCCAATGGCGAATGTAAAAATTTAAATTGTATATCGGAAAATGGCTTTGGATGCATAAAAACTGCGTACCAATTTTTAGAAAAATATCTACAGGGGTACTAAATGTATCGCAAAAAATAAGTTTTTTTCTTATAAATTTACCACCCTGTAGTTCAAAATCTAAGAGGCGTAGGACATATATTTATAGGAACTTATTTGCTTTATTTTATCCAAGGGACACGCCTCTGAATTTTTTCGCAATATTAAAAAAACACCCTGTATATGATGTTCAAAGAATGCACACCACAGCAAGAAGATTAGATGACAAAGTGTAATTTATAGAACATAAACTCCGTGAACGGACGAAATGTCCCCAAAGCGAGTTACAAAGTCATGATTTAAGACATTTTAAATCAGATTGAGGTGGACATTGTCCAACTATATTGAAGAGAGGTTTCTTACAAAAAGGAAGCATGGCTTAATGGTTCAGTTTCAATAAATACCTGGATATCGCGCGTAAAGGCGGGAAGGCTAAGCAAGGAATTCCAAGTATTGTCTGATCTTAGTTTCGGGAACAGGTACTTGTCGATGAACTAGCTTACGCAGCTAGTGTTAGTCAACGTACTTCAGGAAATGCACGGCATATAAAATTATAAAAGATGTAACTGCTTCACTGATAACAGCCAAAAAGTTCAGAAAAGCCATTGATGCTCAGCAATCGAAAACTACAAAAAAATAAACACCTAAAGAAGCATTATCCTTATTCGTCGAAGGCGACTTCACACGAAAACAGTGGGAGCTATTGTACTACACGATTCGAGCAAGAGTATTAACTCTTGTTACACCCTTATTAGAGAAGCAAAGAAGGATTGCTATCCGAAACAAGAGGCAATGCGAGTTGCGGAGGCCTCTGCAGAAGTTTGTCTTTAAGACTTACTCGACCACACCATTTTAAGACGCTTCCTTTACTTTGAGGAAGTTCTAGAAAATTGCACTGAGGCAGAATTGGAAAATCTGGAACTTATAACAAAATGGGGTTGTGACGGTTCACATCAAACCCAGTATCAACAAAAGTTTTCAGAAGCTTCTTGTGATGACTCAAGTATTTTCCAAAGTTCCTTGGTCCCTTTAAGACTGCAGTCTCACACTGATGACTTAAAGAAAATTTTGTGGCAAAACTCCCACGCCATCATCCAGGCTTTTCTGTCGACCGATTCGCATTCGGTTTTTGCATGAAACTGTCGACATCACAAAGGAGGAAATAACATAAATAGAGGACCAAGCTAAGCAATTACGCAATACTGTAATACCAAATTTAAAGGGAGTGAGTTATGTACGGCATACATTGCTTCTGACAATGGTTGATGGTAAGGTGTGCAATTCGGCAACGAGCACAACCTCCACCATAAGATGCTACATATATGGAAAAACTTCTAAAAGCTTTAAATCCGGGTGTGGAGGAATCCCAGTCTTTAAGATTTGGCTTGATAATTCTTCACGCCAGGATTTTTTTCTTCAAGACCATATTACATCTTGCATACAAACTCCCTCTGAAAAAATGGCAGGCCACAACACCTGAAGATAAAAAGGTGGTTCAAGAAAACAAGGAACGAATCCAGAAGGAATACAGAGAAAGAACCGGCTTAATAGTAGATATGCCAAAAATAGGTTTTGGAAACTCCAATTCGGGCAACAATTCACGAAGATTTTTTAGTGACCCGAACCTAGCCGCTGAAATTACAGGAATTAAGAATATACCAAACAGACTGCAAAGATGTACATGGAGCTGTACGGGTGGCATCCAATGATACCAACTCTGCAAAAAATTCTTGTGCATGGCGCAACAGTTGTAACACATGCTAGTCTACCAATTGGCCAGCTATCTAAAGAAGCTGTAGAGCCCCGCAATAAACATCTTCGCTCATATCGACTAAATTTCGCACGAAAATTTTCAAAGATTCAGTGCAACAAAGATGTTTTAAATAGGCTTCTTCTGACTTCCGATCCTTTCCTTAGTTGCAAGCGAAAACGACAACAGAGAAAAAGCCAGCCCTTCTCATATAATACTTTAAAACTCTTCGAGGCAGAAGGACCGGAAGTTTAAGACAAAATAGAACAAGATAGAGCAATGAATGATTCCAATGAATCTGATTAGTTTTTTTTTTATTTTTTCCGAATAAAGTCTATTCAAATTTAATTTACGCCTGATGTAAACAGAAGCAGGTGGACGCTAAAATTGAGCAGGGCCGTATTTTACTTTTCCGTCTTGCAAAAATGTAAAATAAAAGAGTGTAATTGTGAAATTATTTTTTTATTACGATAAAATAGTATATTATGCAACGATCATGTAATGATGGTTATTAATACACGAGCATTAACCGGGATACGAAACGAGCCAAAGGCGAGTTTCGTATGGTTTATGCGAGTGTATTAATAACCATTACATGAGAGTTGCATACGCTATTTTTTCTACACCCGATAAATAATCAAGAACTATAAATATTATATTCATATTGGTATTGAACACAATAACAATAATTACTCGTGTATTTCTATAAAAAATTCTACAAAATTGTAATTAATGGTATTACTTCGGGTATTGGTATTTCCCTAGATTTTTGCGGCAAAATATTTTGTACTGTATTTTCTGCTTTCTCCGATATGTGTGGAGGAGTCTTCTATATCGCTGATATCAGACATTTTAATATTATAATTAACGAAGTTTAGTTATCTACCAAAATTTAATACGTTTTGACAACTAAAACAAATACATAGGAACCTAGGACAAACGTCAAACAGCATGCTTGATTGAAAAATTGTAGGTTTCTATTGATTAAAAATCTGTATCGTAATGAAAAATCTGTATCGTAATGAAAAATCTGTATCGTAATGAAAAATCTGTATCATAATGGGTATCATTATGAAACGGATTATGGGCATATAAGTGCATTATTATAATACGGGTGTAGAAAAACATATTTTGTAAACCAAAACTATAAAATAAATGCCATACACGGTCTCCCAGACTTTAGTGACATTTCTGGACGAAGATAGGTGAGCAACATAAACTGCGTTAACCTGCAATACAAATTAATAAATGTATTTGACTTTAAAAGAGATGTTTGCATTATATTTAGTTCATTATATATGTCTACTGTGATACAGAGCATTAAAACAATCATATTATAAAATTATATTGTACAGGGTGTCCAAATAATTTCAAATTCTTTAATAGCTAATATATATCTACTAAAAGCATTAAAAAAACTTTAAATATAAGAGGTATTTGGTATTTGATTTAAAATTGTGCATTTTAAAAAGAAACCTTTTGTATTTTTAACAACTTTTGTTCTTTATTGTTCTTGTTCTACTAGTATTTATATTAGACACCTTGTACCCTGTATCATAGAAATCTCCCTTACTTGACTTAGCACTATTCTGAATTGGATAAATTAGTTAGACTTGAAGGGCTATCTTCAATAATCAAAATTACAAGTGGTTCTACCTGAACCTCTATATTATTATCCAACTCCCACATTTTGACTTCAACTTTTTGGCGAACATAGTCGATACACTCTTTCCCTTTTTCTGGAGAAATTAATAATATTACTTAAAAAAAAGAATTTTAATGTCTCCAGATTTAAATGTTGAGTTTTTATCTGCTACGTATTGTTTAACGTCAACCTAGATTAATTCAATATTATGTTGTTTTGCTGCTTAACCATTTCATCTATTACATACCTATCATAATGTTTATGTTGCTTACCAAGTTTTAGAAGTTGGATCTTAAGCATTTGTTACTCGAATTCAATTTTTTTCCCTTATAGCCATTTTTAAAAATCACCTTTTTTAGACGTCTTTGTAGGTATTTTTTCCAGCTTTCTCGAATAATAATGCAGTTATCTTCTAATTTTGGTAGGGTGTTTGAAAACCACTCTTTGAACGATTCTCCACGCATTTCTTCATGGTAGACACCGGATTTTTCAACTTAAATACATAAAGTGCATTAGAGACAGCTTTTTTCACTTCCAATATGGCATATAATGAGCTGCTTTTACGCACATACCTGATGGGTTTTTAAAACCAGTTAAAAGTTCATCCAAAAAGGCTTGTCTGGATGATAAAACCGACATATCGAAACATACTTTTGATTTGGTGTGGCATGCGTTAATCCAAGTCTCATCAAGATAATATATTTTTTGCTTTTCTTCTCTGTACCGTTTTATTTTTTGTGGCGTAGGACGAAACAATTTCATTCTGTCTAAAAGCAAACTATTTTTTCCTTGAGTTTTAAATTTAAAATTAAGGGTTTTGAAAAGCTTGTAAAATGTAGCTCGCTTAAAAGTAGACAAATATGGATCATCATTGACTTCTTGTAAGTTGGAAGTTAATTTCTAAAGAAGAATTGATGTACTTTGCGCCTTATTGCATTTTTATCAAAATCATCCACAGGGCCACTAATTTATTTATAACGTGCTTTCTTTTTGGTTCAGAAAATTTATGAATCTGCCTATACTCCTTCATAACATTAAAAACGGTTTCAGCGCACATCCCTGTTTTATCAGCAACTCTCCTTTCAACATCATGTACCAACATATCAGGGTTCTATAAAATTTAATGCTTATAAATATTAAGAACCATTTCTTTAGTACGGATGACCAAAAGTCCCTTTTTCGGTCGCTTTTTAGAAAGAGTAAAAACATTTTTCTGGACTTCATCTGCTGTATCTGTGGAGGACATAGTGTCACGCAGCAGCTACAAAATATAGTCAATTAAATGTCCATAAAATAGAGTAAAAAATGTTCAAACTAACAACAACCACAAAAACAAAAGAAAATAAATAACACAATATATGTATATCTAAACTATAATATAATGAATTATAATCAATCAAACCTACAAAATGTCCAAACTAACCAACACGGTGAATGCTACCAAAACGCCGTTTATAATTATCCAAATTGAACTGAATTCGAATCTGACAAAAAATATTTGTCTAAATGACTAATGACCGATTAACCAATAGAAGCGCAAAAAAAATGCCACGTGAGCTGTTGATGGATGGAAGAGATTGTTTTGACACGGCGTAAATAAAACCTGAATAGACTTTAGTTATTTTCTGAACCTGATTTCAATGTTTTTCCACCTTGTATCTGTTATTATATATGATAAACGTATACACACAAGCATTTTTATTTATCCCTATAAACAAATTCTCAAATAATTTTTACCGGTTTTTGATGCCAAATGCTCGTTAGTGCGCCGTAGGCAAAGTGCTCAATCGTCAAATCTTACTGCTAGACCACTACCTGAAAAAATTCGTTTTAAAGAATAAGAACAAGAAGTAGCATTTAAGGCTTTAGAAAACACGGTACTTCCTGAGCATAAAAATGTTGAAAATAAAAAATCACATAATAAAACTAAGAAAAGTTATGTGTGTGGAAAAAAGAATGTATAAAATCTGAAGGTTTAGGCATTATACATAGACAGTAACAATAGCATTTTAAATAACGTTCTCTACATTTCCGATCTAAGTAAAAATCTAATATCAGTGAGTGCAATTACGGAACACAATGCAAAAGTCACTTTTACCAAAAAAATTTGGGGTTATGCATTATTCGCAGATTCAATAACAACGATTTACTAAACACCTATAGAAGCTTGGATTAATACAACACATAATTTATGAAGAATAAAACTAGATAGAAGCAATGCATATGCGAAACTACTTAAACAAAAAAAGTTAGACTACAGATCCAAAAAATATATTTTTAAAGGTTATGCTACAAGTGGATATAATAATAATACTCTCCCTAATTCACCCCCTTACGAGTGAATTTTAACCCCAAAAGCTGAGCTTGTGCGGGGAAAGAGACGGCTATTATTATTATTTGCCGTGGCGCTCCGGGGCGACTTAAAGATGATTGATGGTGCCATTTGACTTACAGGTGAGGAAAACCCGGAAAACCTCACCCACCATCATCGAGACGGTAATGTATGGCGATATAGATTATAGGAGAAAGAAAAAGCTAAAATAGTGGTACTTCAGAGACTAATATTTTTACTGAAGGATCTAAAATTGTAAGAAAACAACCTGAGAGCTAAAATGCTTTTTTGAAGATAAAAAACAATCTTTGCTGGAAAATTAAACTAATGTAAATAAATATAAGATAGAAAATGTTTATCGATTTAATAGATAGCATGGGTAGCTAGGTGAGTAATGAGACGATGGGAACAAGAATATCGAATTAATTAGGAAGAAACATTTAGCCCTGTTGTAAATATTATTTCACAAATAATGCAACTCATATTCCGAAATACGAAAAGTACCACTGGCTATGTTATTTCGGAAATAGTCCTGTGGTTTGATGGTCTACAGAACAACCTATAGTAGCTCTTTCAAACACAAATGAAGAATAAGTAGCAACAGCTGTTTACGTGAAAAAACTTCATTACTACAAGAGTTCAATAAACTAAAATAAAGGAATTTATACCTGAACTTATAAAGACAGGACAGTTAAACAAAAGGAGCAAACATATATGTATACCGTGAGCACCATAAGTCTTACCCCCCTATCTAACTCGTTACTGGAGTCTTGTTAGGAAAATCGCCGAGACACGTCGATTTTTGATTTCTACAGTGTACATTTTCGTATGAATAGTTTACCCTTGCTTTCATCCCTTACTGGAGGGGAGCAACCCTTTCGAAAAATTTAAATGGCATGTGGTGGTGAGTGATAGCTCATTTGAAAGAGGGTTTTATTCTCTATTCAACCATGTAAAAAATTTTGAAATTTGCTTCATTAAT